GACAAATGTTGTTCATAAATTTGTCACATTTGATCTATCTTGACGGCGATAAAATGACAAATCCTTGTGACAAAAGCGTTTGTCATTTAAGGTCAAATATGACAAATACGGTATCTAATATGACCAAATGGACGCGTCATAATAGGCCGAATTTGTTGTAGTGGAGACCTGGCCTGAGCAGTCAGAAACGTCCCATTCGGGAAATATTTACCTTTGTACACCTGGGCCAGAAGGGACTGGGGTTCCTTAAGGATACGCCAACCAATTTTAGCGAGCAACGCTTGATTGAAAAGCTCAAAGCGGCAAAACCCCATGCCCCCTTCATGTTTACTTTTGCACAAGTTCCTCCAAGAGATCCAACGGATCTTGGATTTCCCTTCTTCCACGCCCCACCAGAAACGGGCTATATGCTTATCTAGAAGGCGGCACAGAGTTAGGGGCAACTTAAAGCATGACATAACATGCAGAGGCAGGGCTAAAGCAACTGATTTAATCAAGGTTTCCTTCGCGGCCCACGACAAAGTTCGCCTCTTCCACCCCTGCAATCTAGCCAGAAGTTTCTCCTCCAGGTAGCGGAAAGTAGACATTTTAGACCGGGCTATCAGAGAAGGGAGACCAAGATACTTGTCGTGGACTCCCACCGCCCCTACTCCTAATATTTCCCCCAGGAACTCCTGATCCGCCATTGCAATATTTTTACTGAAGCAGACAGCCGATTTATCCAGATTCACTTTCTGACCACTCAATTCCTCATACTCATTAAGAACCTCGATCAAATTCTCACATTCTTGGAGGGAGCCTCTAAGAAAAAGATAAGAATCATCGGCAAAGAACAGATGAGATATACGAGGCGCACGGGGGGCCACCTTGACCCCTTGTAATTTTCCTTCTGCGATGGCTTGACGAAGGAGAGCCGCGAACCCTTCCGTACAAATGACAAAAAGGAGGGGAGAGAGCGGATCACCCTGTCTAAGCCCTCGGGAAGAGGAAAAAAACCCAGCTGGGGTCCCATTCATTAAGACCGAAAATGATGTAGATTGGAGGCATTCCTGGACCCATCCTCTCCAGGTCGAGTTAAACCCCATTTTTTCCAAAACCCCTAGAAGAAAGGGCCATTCGACTCTATCATAGGCCTTTTCCATGTCAACCTTTAGAGCCATATATCCCTTCTTCCCTCGGGTTTTGATTTTCAGGTAATGCATTAACTCGTGCCCTAAGAGAATGTTATCCACAATCTGCCTCTCCCGAATAAAAGCATTCTGGCCATCGGAAATAATTTGTGGCAGAATACCAGCAAGCCTGCCTTCCATGATTTTAGTAATCACCTTATAAACAAATTGGCAGAGACTAATAGGACGCAATTGCCGCATTGACTCAACTTGATCCACCTTAGGAATCAGCGTCAACCACGTATGGTTAAAGCTCCGAAGCATTCTACCAGTTTCGAAAAACGAACTAACCGCCTGGATCACTGAATCCCCAACTATATCCCAAAAAGCTTTGAAGAACTTCCCAGTAAACCCATCCGATCCGGGAGCCTGCTTGGACCCCATAGAGAAAACCGTTCCCCGAATTTCAGTAGGGAGAACTTCAGCAGTCAGGTTAGCATTCATATCCGGAGTAACACAAGGATCAATGGGGAGAGCCGCCACATGCTCATGCATATTCACAATCAGGTTTTCTGATGTGAATAGAGACCGGTAAAAATCGGTAGCCAGCGCAGCCTTCCCTTGTTCCTCCGTGACCCACTCACCATCCTCATTATAAAGACCAGCCACAAAATTCCGCTTCCGCCGAGCCCTAGTGACCGTATGGAAATAAGCTGAGTTTTTATCCCCTTTCTTAAGCCAAGTAACACGGGACTTTTGTTGCCAATAAACTTCCTCAGCCTCCCATTGTCTACTCAATTCGGTTTCTAACCTGGTCACCTCTTCCCAGTCAATAGGGTGAATGGCTTTTAGCCGATCAATTTCGCCTTGCAAGGTATGAATGTTTCGCAGAGAATTGGTGGTTCCCGCTCTACTCCAATCATACAGCAAACGACGTAACTTTTTCAGCTTTTCCCATAACTGGAACATTAGGGTACCAGATATATTTTCTTGCCAAACGTAAGCTACCATAGCCTTGACCTCAGGATTAGTAGCCCACCGAGCATCGAAGCGAAAAAGGGGACGGCAACTCCTCGTGTAGGGCTTGTCCGAGAGGAGCAGAGCTCTATGATCAGATCCCTGATCCGTGAAGTGCTTGACAAGCGTCTCTGGATAACGATCCATCCAACTTTGCGAGCAGAGAGCCCTGTCAAGTCTTGCATGAATACAGGCTGAACCCATTCTTTTATTAGTCCAAGTGTAAGGGTCCCCCTGAAAACCAGGATCATGCAACCCTACCAGATGAATAAGGTTTCTGAGATCCAAGGATTGACTAGCATTCCAAGGATTCCCTCCATCTTTTTCATTTTCGCAAAGGGTAGCGTTAAAGTCTCCAAGAATCACAAAGGGAACAACAAGGGCCTCACAAATCTCGCGCAACTGGTTCAATTGTACAGCTCGTCTCGCAATATTGCAGCTCATATACACGCAGACAGCAACATAGAAAAACCCATTCTCATTAATACGAGTACAAATGCAAAAATTAGAACGAAAAAACACTGAAGCCTCAACTTCAGGGGACCAACCCACTACAAGACCACCAGAACCATCAACAGCATCAACAAAGAAACATTGACTCGACTCAAACCCTAACCCCCGCATTCTACGGGAAACGACTCTCCGGCACGATCTTGTTTCTGAGAAGAAGACAAGGTCCGGTTTATTCGACCGAATTAACCCTACTGCTGTCTGGAATGTGAGGGATGGTCCAATTCCTCTCACATTCCAACCCAAAATCCTCATTTATCTGCTTGGGGCCACTCATGGCTGGCTTCCTCCACCAAAGCAGTTCCTGATTCTTCTTCCACAAATTGTTTTTTGGGAGTGGGTGACTCCCCAATCTCCCCATCCACCTCTTCCAGAGCACGCTTCCTGTTCTCATCCACCATATTGGATCCATATTCGTTCAGCTTCCTAATCATTTCCCCTTCACCAGAGACCAAGGGATCCTTATCTTCATTGATCGCCAAGTTGGCCTCAAATGCAGCCACCACTTGTTTCACTTGACCCACTTGACCCTGCTGATCCGGAGTATCGAGGGCCAAGCGCTTCTTAATTTCATACCGTTGACCTTCATCCTCAGAGAGAGAGGTCTCGGAGTCCACCTGTTCATCGGCAGCTATCTCCAAAGGCGCCTTCCCTTTTGCTTGGTTGGACTTCGCTCCGATCTGGGGCTCAAAATCCCCCCCCCCCCCTCCAAAACCTCGGCGGGTTCCAAAACAGCCGCCTTCCCCTTAAGCTTTGAAAGCCGAGGGCCATTCTGAAGATCAGCTTCACCAACCATTGCTTGGTCGGCACTCTTAAAGGAAACTTTCACCGTCCCTTTCTTTTTCTGGGAAGCCTTCTTTCTAGTAGGCGCAGCACCCACCCGACTCTTGGAGGCCGCCTTCACCTTCGCTGGGGACGAGGTCGAACGAGAAGGCTCACTTGCTTCCACTTTGACCAACCGTCTCCCCTTCCTCTTCCCAGCAGGTTCCGCCTTCTCACTCGGGACGGGAACAGTAGGAATAATAACCTCATCATCAGAGTCCTTGAGAAGGAGGCGCCGACGCCGAGTATCCATCCTGGGCTCACTCCCGACATTGTCTCCGCACCCTCCTCATCCAAATCCTCCATCTGATCCTGCATTTTCACCTCGTTCACCTCGCCCCTCGGCAGCCCTTGGCGAGAAAACACCACTGGCGGCATCTTTGTTATGTTGTTCGCTTGCGTACCACGACGAGCGAGAGCCTGGCCACGTTGTTGCTCCGCCGGGAACAAAGCTATCGGGATGGTGGCACCTGAGTTCCTCCCAAGTTTGAACTGAGGTGCATTGGCAAAGTTTGAGGGAATTATATAATTTTACATTCTCGTTATTTGAGTAGAAGTAACTGTCACTTCTCTATTAAATTCATACAAAAAGGCAGTGTAGAGAGAAGTGTCGAAAGTTTTATTTGTACCCTTTTAACACAAGGAAAGATCTCAATGAAAAGTGTTCACACCACTTACATGCATGTGCATCTTCCGAATTGCACTTGATGATATTACTTGCCTTGATTGTGTAAACAATAGGTGTGTGGTTGGCTTCAAGAGTGAGCGGGAGACGTGGGAAGTTGTGTCGCTTATAAACACAAAATTCCATTGGTATCTATTTTTTATTCAAATATTTTTTAGATTTTTTTATATTATCCAAACCTATTAAAATGCTATTAGTTAGCCAAATCTTTCGTAATGCATCAAAATATTGGCCATTTTTACGTTATCGTTAATAATTTTGTACCTCTTTTCTTATTTAAAATACAAAAATTTTGGAGTGTTGACCTTTATGTGTTTTTTCCAAGTCAGTATCATATTGTCAAGTCAATATTACTAACAAAATTACTGACTGGAAGTTAACATTTGGCTAATTCTTAGTATTTTAATAGATTTGACTAATAAAACATAATCCGGAAAAAATTTGGGTAATAAATATTCATTACCCAATTCCATTTTACACACTAGGTGAACTTGAGGAAAAGCTCATAATTTAGTGTGACATGAGCTAAAGAGCTAGACTTGACAATAAGCTTCTACAGAAGCTCAAGAGAGCTTGGGATAGCTAGGAACCATCAGAAGGCTTTTGACAGGCTGAGGTTAACTCACTCTACCTCAACATCAAATTCACTGAAAAAGGGGGGAAAGAAAACCAAGAATAACTCTTGCTCATGGAGATGATGTAAACGAAAACTCTACAAGGTATCCATGGAGCCCTAGAAACCTCCATATGGTCTATAGTTCGTTCCCAGGTTATTTCCAGAAAGTCCTAAGCTTATTACTTTTCATCCCCCCTTGAATCAATTATTTGATCGAGCGTTTTACTTGCATCTGTCACTGCACTGTCAGGTTGAAATTTAATAACGATGAAGTAGGAAGGAATTCCACAAATCACTCATGAACTGCTTTTTTATATTTAAATCTCTATGGTTATGATCCACCATTTTCCAACTTATGGCCTGGCGGGCTCGTTTTCCACTTGTATCCATTATAACAACCTCAAAAAATTACAGGATGTACACATAAATACACAGACACACCTCTAAAACCTGGTATTAGTCAGTCAAAACCCTTTTCTTTTCAGACATTGTATATCATCCCTACTTCTAAGGTAGATGCATGAGGCACACTAAGGGCATGTGTTGGTCCCCTACTGTTCCTTCTCAAGAACTCATACCCATAGTTGATCACAAACTTCTTCAACATGCTGGATCCTTGCTTTGCCCTAACATACGAGTTTCCGAGTATGTACGCAACCCCTGCTTCCCTGGCTTCCATGAGGTCCTGCAACTCTTCCCTCGCGGCTTTATCAATCTGGGGACTATCAGGGACAATGAATCTTACTCGTTTCTTTAGTTGCATTGCTGGAGGTGACTTCATCTCCCGCACTTCTGAGGTCCCAGCCGCGGTTTCAATCTCGTCTTTGCCCTCCTCCCTCAACAGGATCCCATCGACATGAGTTGAGCATGTTCCCACCACTGTCATCTTGTCATCTTCTTCCTTCGCCATGTCGGCATTGAATTCCGTGCTCCCAGCACGTATGTATTCTGCTATGCTGCACACCAGATCCTTCTCGAACTCGGTGTCATCTTTGTGTACATCGCGGTACCCATATCTGACTATGCACCTGTACAGCCTGTACTCTCTTGGGCCGATGTGCCCTATTAGGAACCGTTCCTCTGGTCCCACATGTGGGACGGGGACTGATTTGATGCACAGGAAGATCAGGACCTGGTGGAATGCTGGAAGGTTGGTGACAAAGTGGGAGAAGATTGCTGGAATTCCAGTCACAAGCTCGGTGTGGATGAGGCCGATCCCTCTTACTCGAACAATGCCAAGGCTAGGACCTAAACTAAGCAGCCAGTTGATGGAGACCTTGTTTTGGACATCGAATTCGTACTTCTTTAGTGAGCCATAGTGCCACACGCACATTATGAGCAGGAATATGAATGCCAGTGCAATGGGGACCCAGGCTCCCTGCAGGAACTTGATGAGGGAAGCTGAGAAGTAAAGAGCTTCAATTGTGCCAAAGAAGAACACGAAACCTATTGCTAGAAACACACTCTTTTCCCAGCATAAGACGATGACCAGAGACATTAGGCAGGTTGTGACCAGCATAACTGTTATAACTGCCAAACCTGTTCCACGTAGTTTAAGCAAAAGCCGTGGAAATTATTACGACAATCACCATAATGTATCAAAAGCTTTAATAACTTTGTTTTTCTCTACCTGAAGCATTTCCCAGGCGTTTCGTGTCTCTGAACCCGATTGTAACAGCCAAACAAAGCAGCATTAGAGTCCAGTTGATCTCAGGGATGTAGATCTGACCATGGACTTTTGATGACGTGTGAACTATTTTGACTTTAGGGAAGCAACCCAGGGATGAACACTGTTTAATGATTGAGAAAGTCCCTGTGATGATTGCTTGGCTTCCCACTACTGCAGCAAGTATGGCTATGACAAGAACTGGCCACCTTATTTTATCTGAGATAAAAATGCAGTAGGCGACTTGCAGAGTTAGCTAAAAACTTGGCAATAGAGGTAGCTATTACAAGCTTTATAAAAATGACTCGCTCAAGGTACATACCAGGTACAGATACATAGAAACCAATTTGGTAATCACTTTCAATCACATGGTGCGTCGATAGATATGCAGCCTGTCCCATATATGCAAGTATCAACGATGGATACACCAATGTAGTGAAAGCAATCTGCAAAATAATGTGAATCGCCAATGCAATGAGGAAAACATCTAATGCTTGTTTCCTTAACAAGCTGATAGACAGTGAGTGAAACAATATCACTGAGAAATCATAATTATTAAAAATGGTCAATAACGAAAGTTTTTATATACCTTGATAGACAACTGAGAAAAGTGTCCCAGATCAGCAAACATTGCTTCTGAGCCTAAATGGCGAAAAAGAAGTTAATTAGGACATTATCCACAATATATTCATTACATGTTAGAAAGATGAATAATAGTAACTGAAAATGAACCTGTTATGCACAACAAAATCCCTCCTAGTGACATCCATCCACCCCTTTGAGTTTTCTTCAAGAAGTTGTACATGTAATATGGTGATAGTGCTTTGTAGACATGGGGATTCCAGTGCAAAATATTGTATATCCCAATTCCACTGATGCAGAGAAGCCATATCAGAACCACCGGCGCAAACAGGAAACCAACCCGGTGGGTCCCGTAATGTTGTAGTGCAAACAAGGCTACAAGTATGGCGCATGAAACTGGGAGTTCCACATCTGCACAATTTCATACAATGCCGGTTTTAAGTTAAGCAAGAAGGGCAAACACAAGTAGTTGGGACGAAAAAAATGCACTAATTGAGACTTGGGAAACAGGGAAGGCCCCAAGTTTGGTGATGAAGCTATTAGGCATTAGCTACAGCTAGAAGCAGGCAAGTCAGAGTCGGCCATTCTTGAATAGGAAAAAGGAACCGCCAAAAGAGATGTAACTTCAAAAATAGAGATTCCACACTCTCCGGGAGGGAATGGAAAAATAAAAGCTTGAAAGTTCCATGATGGGTTTGGCAGGGAATTCAAAGCAAGTCAAACATACAAACCAGTCCAAGATTCAAACTATTCCAGCAGTTGAAAGGAACGGCAGCTCAAGTATGAAACAAGTCAAGCTTGATCAACTAATTTTACAAATGTTGATATCCCATGCCAGAAAATGAAATGAATGGTCAGTAGAAGGAAAGGAGAAAGGGAGGATATTTACATTTGTGATGTTCCTTCGACAATGAAAGCTCAACCCCCGAGACTGCAGAGAAAACTGCAGAACAAAATGGAACCTCCACATCAACGAAGTTATCATCATCACCACTTAATCAGATCAAACACCCCCACACAATAATAATTGACCAAGGAAGAAAACGAAACCATCAATCAATTAACAAAAGAAAACCGAAAACCCAGAAAAGGGGTAAGATGGAAATATTACCAGAAAGGGCAGGGGTGAGAACGCCATCGCCAATGACCATACAAGTCCCAATCAAGGCCAAAACCAGCAAGATCCTCTGCAGCACCCTGTGCTTCTCCAGAGTCGATTTCAAGCTCGACCCAAAACTGGGGTTCTTCGAACAGGAAGTATCAGCAAGGTTGCTGTCCTTCTTGTACTCGGACAGATCCTCATCCGCCACCTGCCGATTGGGGAGCGCGTTGACTCGGGCGTGGCGGCACAGCAGCGAGTAGAGAGCAAATGTCCCTCCTTCGCCGTTGTCGTCTGCTCTGAGAACTATGAACACGTATTTCAAGAGTGGGACGAGGGTGAGTGTCCAGAAGACGAATGACAAAACCCCAAAGATCTCTTCGTTCGTCTCCGAGTGGCTAATATCTTCCGCAAATGTGCTCTTGTAAACGTACAGCGGCGATGTGCTCAAATCTCCGTACACCACTCCTAGGCTCTGGTACGCCAGGGTCAACACCGTCCGCCATGACTCCTTCTGCAGCCCATAGAGGACCAGAACAAGAGTAAGAGAGGCGCTCAGTTTTCAAGAATCAACACCCAGAAAAAATCAAGAGATCAGAAAGAAAGCTTGAAATTACTGCCAATTAACTTCCAAGGACTGAGTACTCAATCAATGCCAGTGGTTTAAAACAGAGCAGCAATACCCATCTCACCTTGACATGATTACGATGAGCTCCCGTCTCCAGATCCATTGGCGGTGGCGGGGAAGACGGTAACGCTCGTTCCCGCTCCAATTTCAATGGCGGCCCACCCATTTCCCCCCAAAACGCAGAACCACAATCACAAAGCAGTTTCTCTAACCTGGCTGAAGAGGTGGACGCAACTTCAGAATCATATCCCCTCGCACCTCCGAAACGTGCACAGTTCCAGAAAGAGTGGCAAACTATCTAAAGCTTTCCGAATCAGCCCAATTGATTACTGAATTTGAACAAACAACCCCACTTCCCCAAATGTAAAAAAAAGTGAAGGGGCGAACACGTCAAAAAGACTGGAACTTTGTGAAGAAAAAAAGGGCAGGCAAGCTTTCAGTATCAAGCTGGTTGATGCGGGGGGAGTTGAACCACCATGAGTGGGGAAAGAAAGAATGCAAGGGGGATGGGGGAGGAAGACAAAGACACGCGGATGAGCAAGGAAGGAAGGAAGAAGATTAGAAGAATGACAGAGCACGAAATCAACAACACCAGAAAAAGCCCTCTCCAGATACGCAAAAGAGTATGTAATGTTTAGTTAAGTTAACATACATACTATAATATGGACGATCTCGCGTGCCTTTTCTTTGGGTTTCTTTTTTGTTGAGGGCTGCTATGCTATGTGTGGAGTAGGTGGAGGGTGGGAGGAGACAAGGAGGATGAATTTGGCCTAATTTTTTTCCCCCCTTTTCCAGGGGAGTTAAGGAGCAGATCTTCTCGTCTCTTCTGTGCAAGAAGAAAGCAGAACAGAGAGAAGGAGGCGAGTTAAAAAGGGCGAAGGGGGTTAAACAGCGCACAAAGCAAATTGGGCAGGCAAAATCGGCGATTTTGGCATCTAATGCTAAGAATCTGCGTATTCTTCTCGGCTCGGCTGGCTAAAGTAAACTACACATATAGTCACTCGATTAATAAAAAAAAAGACAATGTCTATTTTTTACCCAAACCTTTTTCAGATTCTTTTATTTTAACCAAACCTATTGAATTCCTAAAAATTATCCAAATTTTAACTCTCCGTCAACTTTTCTGTTAGTAATGCTGACTAAGTATGACCATAATGAGTTGACTTCCTACGTGACGGTCAGAATACCATCATTTACTATTTTTAATAAAAAGATTATCAAAAAACAAAACAAAATCCCACCCCTCACGTGGACGAAATAAGTAACGGTAACAGAATGAATGCCCAGACTTTGATAAATTATAATGCGTTTGGATAATAAATAGAATTTCTATAGATTTGGTTAAAATAAAAGAATTTGAAAAAGGTTTGGGTAAAAAATAGACATTGCCCAAAAAAAAATTCACCATTGTCATCTATTTTTTTTCCTTCATATTTGTCATCCAAAATGTTCTTTTCGTCCTTGTTAGTTACTCGCTCTGCTCATCATTCCAGTTTTAATTACTCGTCGTTCAATTATATTAGATCCGTCCTACAAGGTTGTCAATCATGAGATTTGACCATTAAATAGCTCATGTGGCAACAAAAACGATAAAACGAGTTATTTTAAATTGTAGTTCATCTCTGCATCACTTATCTTTGTGGCGACAACTGTATTTATTGTGGGAGGCTCTCATTTTCGTCGATTCCTTCCACGGGTCGTTGTGGCTGAAAATGAATAGCAGTCAGCAGTAGATGAAGAAGGAGATCGAGCTAATACCGTAAGAGCCACCATCGATGAGAACGAGATTGGAGGAAGAAAGGTTATGTGGTCGCGAAATCAGTAGACATTTCCAGATTCAAAGCCTCAAATTGAATATTCCTTTCGGACATATTGAACTATTGTTGCTACTACCGAGCCTAATCCTGCTTTGAAATAACAATGTCGGGGAAAAATATTCAACGGTTGAAGCGGGTAAAGAGGAACACAAAAGGTCGATTCCATCTCTTAGGAATTGCTTGTGAAGCGAGCTTGAAATCTGCTGCTTATTTCAATTTTCATTCTTAGCATCCCCATGATTTCGAGCATGGAAAGTAGACTGGAGCTCATGTGGAAACTCTATTGATTTTTTTAGTTTGAGTTTCAATGATTGTATTATGTATGTTTGATGCTTTGGTCTTGGTTGATTTGGTTCTAGACTTTCAGTTTTTAATTGTGCTGAAATTTTGGGGATGGTAGGATTTTGGGTTGACGGGGAGGGTTTCAGTCATTTATTCCCGCTTAGGATGAGTATAATGAAATTAGACTGTTGAAGATATATAATGAAGCGAAGATAAAAATGAGTGACTAATAAGAAGAAAAAAAATTGGAGTGTAGTTATGATAAAATTGGTAAAACTAGTTATCATGTATTTAATCTAGCCCTGTCTTCCTCTTCCCACTATTCAGAGCTTGAAGGAGAAAAACTATATATAAATAACTTGGTGAGTGGGTGTTTAGCTTGACTCGGTTGATGATTCAATGAGTTCATGGAGGCTCGCCACTTATATGAGATCAATGTTCTAATGTTCAACTTAGAATTCCAAAAATTGGATTAGGCAAAAAGGAAAATCGAAAAATAAGCACATTTCACAAACCAAAGAAAAAATGACGTCATTTGATCTCCAATCTGATACCTTGCAGCGAGTCGACTCAACGGATGTATATGACTCATTTTTCTCACCTGGACAGGGTCAACCAGCGGGTAGACCCGTGGGTTCACAACCTTGTTATGAGAACCGAGTTGATCTAGTCAATCACTTTTCATTCATGCTCTAGTGTTTGTGATATTCATTTTTTGGACATTCGTATTAGTCAAGGTTCAAGAAGGCGTTATGTGTAAGGCGGGCGCTGAGGCTTTGCCTAGTGCCTAGCTCGCTAAAATGTATACTAAGCGTGCCTAGACGTTGGAAGAAAAATAGCTATTCGCACGGCATGATGAATGAAATAATAACCTACAACACTTCCTCATTTCAGTTAAACTGATTAATAACTTACTCAACACTTAACACCAAGAACATAGCTCACGAAATCATAGAATCATAGCTCAATAGCTCACAAAGTTTTTGAGCTATTGAAAATATTGATATAGAAAATTGATTTTGAAGTTGACGTTAATTTCCTCCTTCAATATTGACTTCCTAGCTTCATCTAGTTATGTTTAGGAGAGAATTAGATGTCGACTTACTCCATTGACGTGTTGTAATATCTAGCTAGGCGCGAAACCCCTAGGCAATGCATTTTGCCATTGCCTTGCACCTAAACGTGCCTAAGCGTAAGGTTAAACATGCCTTTTTGAAGGAAGAAATCCCAAAATACACATGTTATATGAAAAATTTCCAAAATACACATGTTTGTGCATCACTACGGTCGTCAACCGCAGTGAATGCATTCACCTCGGCAGACGAAAGTGGTGAATGCATCAGCTCGGTTAACGGTCGCGGTGAATGTCTAGTCTAACACTGAAACTTCAAACGAACGTAACTTTGTGCTCGATTATCCGATTGTAGCGAAAAAAAATTTTATTCCACATAACTTTTCAAGAATTTTCAATCTGCAAAGAGCCTTCATCCCAAAAAAAAAATGTTGTTTGCTACCCTGAACGATTTCGACAAACTTTGTAAGACCATAACTTTGTGCTCTGCAATCCAAATTTGCTTAAATTTTGCCATAAATTTTTATATTTTGCTTAAATTTTGAAGGACTACAGCTTTTATCATAACCATAATTTTGGAATGTATGTGGATTTGTGAAAAGTAAAGGCAAAGTTATTCCCAAAATCCCGTATACCTAAAAATATTTACTTTTTAAAAAATTCTTTCCTAGTAAAAGTTGTAGTTCTTAAAAATTATGAGCAATAAAATATAACTTTATGATGTTCGGATTGAGGAGCAAAAAGTTATGGCCTTCCGAAATTTGGAAAAATCGAAAAATTGCTCATTCGGGGTAGCAAACGACATTATTTTGAAATGAGGGTTTTTTCAAATTGAAAGATATTGAAAAGTTATGCGGAATTAAAAACAATTTCGCTACAATCGGATAATTGAGCGCAAAGTTACGTTCGTTTGAAGTTTCAGTGTTACGTTAGGCATTCACCGCGGTCGTCAACCACGGTGATGCATTCACTGCTTTCGTCTGCCACGGTGAATGCATTCACTGTGATTGACGACCGCAGTGATGCACAAACATGTGTATTTTGAGAATTTTTCATAAAACATGTATATTTTGAGACTTTTTTTAGAAAACATGTGTATTCTTAGCTTTTTTCCCCATTTTGAACCATGGTATTAGTAGACGTGATAAATAATTTTTTTTGGATGAATGATAAATCAATTTGTACAACATGATAAAGTTGTTTGTTTGTGAATGTATTACTCGGTCTGATTGGTATTACATTGTTCGATTATATATTACTTTAATAATAATATCATATTTGTATGTTACAAACTAAAATCATGATGATTTAAAAAAAAAATTACGCTTGATTTGTCGGATTTTACGAATCTTGGTTTTTAATGGAACCGTTCTCTCTCGTAATCATCTTGTGAAACTTCTTTTTTTCATCGGTTTCTATTACTTATTCTTTATCATGATTCTGTCTCAGTTTCATATGTAAAACTTAAACGACAGTTTTTTTCTCTTCTTTGAACAATGAATAAAAGTAGTTAATGCACAATCTTGTAATCAATACAATGTTAGATATTTTATAGCTAAAAAACACTGCATAGCATTACAATGATGAGAGGGTTGTCCCTTTTGCAAATACTATTGGGGATATTGTTGGCACTGAATGTGCTCTAATTACTTAGGTAATATAACTATAGTTTGGTACATGCGTTACCTAAATAGTGTAAGTAGGTATTGTATCTAGTGTATGATTTTTTTTCAAATGTAAGTACAATGCATACATTTGATTGTTGATAACTTGATATGATACTTGAAAATTGAAAATAAATGATTTAGTGGTCGTTTTGTTTCTACCGATGTCAAATTAATAAATTGTTATTTTGCCACGTCATTAAAACCAATTGATGCGTCCCCCGCTGACCGGCCAAGAGAGAAGCGTCGGTCCTGCGAGAAGGGTATACCCGGCCAGGAAGGAAGAATACCCGATCGAATAAAAGGAGCAGAACGCCCCTTTTATCCAACCGGTAAAATACCCAACCGGTAATTTCAGGGGGTCCGACCGAGTATTTTCACCTGTTGACGGTATTTTGTGTTTTAAATTGTTTTTGTTATTTTTAATTGTCCAGGCTTATATAATGCTGAAACTCTGGTTTTAAAGTTAGTTTTTGCAGAATATTGAACTTTTATCTTGGTTTTGAGCTTTAGACTTGAATTATTCTCTGTATCGATCAAGTTTTCCCCTTGATTGTGGTCGAGATTCTACCTATTATATTGATAGAGACTTCTCTCGATTTCGTGTTGAGATTTCACTTTCAATTCCATCCTATCCCAACCAAACAAAAAAAAAACCCAAAAAATATCTTTCTTGATCGTTCTTGAAGCTGCGTACTTTGATAATTACGGGTAGAGGATCCGTGCTCGTATCAGGTGGTATCAGAGTTTTGGTTCAACATAGTGGCGAGATCGAAGGGCAGAGGACCAGTTTTGTCACGAAAAAGGTCCAAAGATCCCATCGCACACCGCAGATCAGAAGTGGATTCTTTGTGAGAAGAATAAGAAGAAACCCTAATCGAAGAACCATCCATGGCGGAACAACATGTAAACATGATCGAGCTCCTTCAAACACTCACTACTCATCTAAATGTGGTGTTCCAGACCTAGTCGACCAGATCAACAAGCGTTTGGATGCTCTTTCACCGCCAACAGCAAGACTCCATTCCGATTCCGGAGAGAGATCGATAGTAGGGCATTCCAACTGCATCAACCAAGCCCTAGATGAAAGACTTCGCAACCTGGAAT